CGAGGTCGGGAATTGAAGAAATTAACCAAAGCGAATGTCTTGGTAATAGATTTTTATTTTTTGTTAGATTCGTTTTAATCGAAATTATGTTCATTACGATGTGTTGTGTTTTTTATAGTTCATCTTGTATTGATAACTTTTTTCTTTAATTATTAAAATACKTACCTAATTCACATGTTCAAATGGAAGTACATGCACGACCCATTTTCATATTGTCATATTACCGACTTTTATGAATCATGAACCATTGTGTTCATGTTACTTCTATCATATGAATACAAGTGTTATTTTTTAAGCTTGATACCAAATCTTTATATTTGTATAAGTGTTTACACCCGGTGTTCATAGCGTTGGGGTTGTGTGTTCATATATTTTATACGATATGGACAAGGGGTGAACATGATATGAACAAGAGGTGAACAACCATATAAGATCAGAAACATATATGAACAAGGGTGAACCTTAAACGGTGTGGATGCAATGCATGTATAAAACTCCAATTGACAAAAGATCGCTCCTGAATGTGTTTATAATAAATGAACTATTGTTCACAAGCTGTTCATATCGTGTTCATATCTGTTTTTTTTATTTCCTTTCGTATAGCAGTTATTCTTATTATGTTCATATTGTGTTCATAAATGCTATGCAGTCCAAGTTCATATATATGTCAAATTTTTGTTCATATTTGACTTAATGGTTCATATATATATATAGTTATATTCATATGGTTCTTACATTAACAAAAATAAATTAACAAAAATCATAGAATTTTTCTAGAATTTTGTAACTCCCAATTAATTAATGATATGAGAGTTACATAATTTTTTTTACCTAAATATTTTTTTCAACTTTGTTCACTTATCTTTATGAAATTCTAAATTTAAAAAAATAAGTTTTTATCATGATTAATCACAACCGTTTATTGAAAGATTGAATGACCAAGATCGGTTAACATTTGAACCTGACCCTATATATATATATATAGGGGCCCATTCAAGGGAGAACCGAGCTAACTGTGAGATCGAATCTCAACCACAAATCAATAGATAAATTAGGAAATTCATAACTTTGACAATTTTGAATTAAAATTTTAATGCAAAAACATTTTAGGTATTTTTCTCTCCTCTCTACTCTCTTCTTTCTCTGTCCCCCGTCCTCCGGCCACTATCCTCCGGTGATACCACAGTGGTATCACAATACATCTTATATGTCATTAGTAATCACACTGATGTCGTTTGTGTGGTCGGACGATTGTTTTTAATCCCGGTGAAAAATTCCATGATGTGACAATGACTATTTGTATTATTGACTTGAATAGGGGTCAATTGGCTCCCTTTAATTATTTTCCCAGGATAGAGTACACGTGGCAGAATATATTTGGCTGCAGTGCGCTTTTCATAGTTGCGGACATCCAACGCCAATACAAGCGAGTGGAAATGTAAGGACGTAGGGAGAGATACTAAAAAGGAAATTGCAGAAACATCCCTCATCTTCTTCCACCTTTGCATAAAAAGCTCTTAATAACTATATTGTCCAAATTTAACCCCTCATCGTCAATGTTACTTCTTTTCTTATCACCCAGAAACCAACAAGCCTTTTGAAATTTCAATATAAATACAATAATTACTAATATTTTCATTTAAGATGTAGATTTACTCTCTAATAACAATTATTAAGTGATAATATATTATTATAAATATATAAAATATTATATTTATTTAAACAATGTTTTAAAAACACATTAGAGCACCAAGGCATGTATCTCATGTCTAGTTAACCCCGTAGCGGTTCTCTTAAGACGTGACACCATAATGGGAGGGGGGTTCTTTTTTTTAATTAACTTGGATATTCAACTTGTTATATATGAGAGCCGACTAATCCCAGAATGACCAACTGCTTTACGAGTAACATGGAGTTATCACATTTGAACCTCCGCAGCCACAAGGGGTTCTTTAGACTAAAAAAATGAACTTCAAGTTTATACTTTTTGTAACTTTTATACATTAATTAACGATTGGATGATTGGATGTAAGAAATTCGATGATCCATATATAAATGTAACAACTTTTATAGTAGTGAATTTAAGTTTGGCAATATGTAACCTCTTCTTTATTCTTTTTCTAGTATTTTCTCTTGACTCACCCTTATAATATATATATATATATACATATATATATATATATACACACACACACACATATACATACATATATAGGTGGAGGTTCAAACGAGAACACTTCCATTTTACGAGAACGTGAGAACACCCCTATTACATGTGATAATATGCATGAGGGGACCCTGTGATTTAGCATCACATGTGATGGTCTTGATGGATTATAGTATCATATCAACACCCTTATCACATGTGATAATACTTGTGAGGTGACTTAGTGGTATAAGAGCGACTCGGCCCGCAACCAAGATCACATTGAAAATCGCCCGTGTCTTTGGTTTAGTATCACATGTGTATCATATATGTGATGGAATAATAGTACCACATGTGATTGTCTATAGTAAAAGGACGTTCTCGCGTTCTCATAAAATGGTGTTCTCGTTTGAACCCTTTCCTATATATATATATATAAACACGCAAATTCGATGTTTCAAAATTTGTCTTAAAAATACTTTTTACTATATGTCGACTCTTAAAACTTGAGGTTTGATCTTTTCAGTATTTCATTCTTCACACTATGTAAAACCTTGATTAAAAATGAAAATAGTTTTAACTCCCAATAATACCTTAAGAGAAGACCTTTGCACACCACAAAGGTTTGATTTGAGCATTTCGAAAAAGTAAAGGGTTATATTTGTAAATTTATAAGACCCCTTACCTTTATTTTTTATTTTTTATTTATTATTTTGCCTTTCAAATTCGGCCTTATTTAAATGTGAATCGACCTCACAAAATTTCCCAAATTCGAAAGGCAGGGAAACACAGCGGAAATCCACACAAGATTTCTCAATCGTAGACCCAGATTTGCTCGATCGATTTCTCCAATTACTCTCATTCATCTGAAATCATGGTAAGTGAACTCACAATCTTCCAGTATTTTATCCGCTCATTCACATTCACTAATGAACAAGCTCGATCAGCCACGTTTTTCTAGTATGTTTTGTTCGGTTTCAGAAGTTCAGTGCGATCTGTACAATCATACCTGTTAGTATGTATGCCGATGTTTGTGATAGTGTTGCTTGTTGCTTTTTTGTTCTTGTTGTTGGCTTTGATCTAAATCTTTGTGTGCGGTGGTTGATTTTCGATAACGTGTGATTAACGTATTTTCGTTGATGATCTTGCGTATTGTGATCTTTTTCGGTATAATTTGACGTTGATTTAGATTAGTTTTTCAATTATTAGATCGAGCAGTGGCTATTGCCAGGAAGCAATTGCGCTAATGCTCGTAATCCTACAATTTGCCTAAAAGTTCGCGGGAGTTCTGATTTTTCTATTAAATCTTACTAATCCTCTGCGTTGAGACTTTCATTATAAAGGTACAAGTTATAGTTCCAGTAACAACAGTGACCAAGATCATACTAACGGGCACTCCAATCATAGAAATAAGAAACATCATCAAAAGGACGATCATACTTCATCATACGGTGCTGGAAACTTTGGATTTGCACACTTGTGAGGTTCATATGTAGATATGAACGTATCTAGTTTGCCTTTAGCAAAAGAAGTTTCATGTAGATAATTTGACTGTTATTTATGCATTTTGAAGGCCACACTCCTTAGTAATGATTAATCAAATTTGTAGTGGTTGATTGCTTGGTAGAAAATGGTGTGTGATATGAAATGGCTTGCAAGGGAATTGGGCTCTGGTCGGTGGACTAGGCTTGTCTTTTGTATTTTCTTGTTGAAGCACTGAAGTCTCTGTATTGCTGTATTATGTAGTTAATCTTATGATCTTGTTACCAACCAAGTATCTATGTCTACTTTATTTGCCCTTTTTATATACTGGTTAATTGATAATTTGTCAACATTATAGGCCAATGCAGCATCCGGGATGGCTGTGCATGATGAGTGCAAGCTAAAGTTTCTAGACTTGAAGGCAAAGAGGACCTTTCGCTTCATCGTTTACAAAATTGAGGAGAAACAGAAGCAAGTTGTGGTGGAAAAGCTGGGAGAACCAGCTGAAAGTTATGAAGATTTCACAGCATGCCTCCCTGCTGATGAATGCCGATACGCTGTCTATGATTTTGATTTTGTGACAGCAGAAAATTGCCAAAAGAGCAGAATTTTCTTCATTGCATGGTAATAATCGTTTCAATGTTTCTCATCCTTCCGATTACAAGCTTTGTGTGTGACTCATAGTCATGTCAATCTGTTTTGAAAGGTCCCCGGACACTGCAAGGGTGAGGAGCAAAATGATCTATGCAAGCTCGAAGGACAGGTTCAAGAGAGAACTTGACGGCATTCAAGTAGAGTTGCAAGCAACCGATCCTACTGAGGTGGGCCTTGATATTATTAAAAGCCGTGCTAACTGAAGCATTGAATGGAGATCCCCTTCTTCATAGAATCTCATCGTTTATGTTAAATGTCTAATGGTTGTGGAAAGCAGGATGAACATTTAGGTACGATATCGCCTGCCTTACCTGCTTTACCTTTCAAGTTGCTTCCTCAAGAATTCTATGAATTCTGGTATAAGTTGTGATGTTTTCTGTGTGATCCTACAAAAAAGAAATATGAATGGGTATTTGTATGTTCGTTTGATTTTCGCACTCAGCTTCTGCATACTGAAATTCGAATACTGACCAACCTTTTTGCTTACTTTTTACTGTAACATGTAAGCCACACATACCAAATGTTTGGTGGGCAAATATACGAGCTTCTTATAGTTTTATGGCCTTACAAATATTGTGCTATTCAGTGACAGCAATGGCTTGATTCTATCAGTATGAAAATTGTGCTAGTTAACCAGTAGTTTGTGGGCAGGCATTAAAGGCTGATTCTGTGTACTTCAATTGAACTGTCATATTCTAGTAGTTAACACCGCAACCAAATACACGAGGCCAGTTATTTAGGAGAATAACTTTCTTACGTCAATGTCTTTGTCTAACAGAAACGTCTCTTCCTAGCACAATAATGCCTTAAAATCTCTTAGAAGGTCTCACATATTTAAAAATAATCTGTTAGAAAGTTAATTGGCTAACTTGTGGCTTCCCAGTCAAGAATTTAGGTGCAGTTTACCAAACGCTTACCCGGGTAAGCGCTTATCAAGTCACTTTACTTTACCGGATGAATATGGCAAGGACTAAGAGTCTTACCCGATAAGAGCGAAGGCAAGAATCTCGAGTGTTACCTAGTAAGTGAAGACGAGGACTCTTACCATGATTAGCGCTTACTGGGATAAATTTTTTCATACGATGCATTTTAGTGAATAAAATCTTGCCCTGATAAGCTAATGATAGTGTTGAATTTTGATGTATCCATGAGGGAGTATTGATAGAAGAACTTTTGTGGGTTATAAAAGGGAAGTGTTATTGTGAGATGTAGTTGCATGTTTTAGTATATATAATGTTGATGATTTACATGTGAAGGTATTTGTTAGTATGGACGGACCTAATGTAGAGCATATGGCGTCTCGTGTCATTGTATTGTTCATCCATTGTACTGAAGAAAAAAAAATAGAGTTGTGAAAAGTGTCATAGTATTAATTTATTGTGCTACTATATATATTTTGAATCTACAGTGAAGATATAAGTTTTCCTTGTAGAGTTGGTTTGCAACCCGATTTCAAATATTGTTAATGTCATTTTCTTAGTTTTTCACCTTTTAATTTCAAATTTGTTATGTTTTTGGAAAAGAATTCAATAAAAGACTTGAGCATAAAATCTCATATATGAAAAACAATGAACTAACCAATTGATTTTATAAAAAATATTCTTATATTTATTTTTTATAGTTAAATGGTATAATGTTTGAAAAATATTCTAGATGCTTCCATGTTTGTTAGAAAAACTAAGAGGTTGTTTGTTTACCACTTAATAGTTCCATTAAGAGGCAGACTCTGAATCGTTAAGAGGTGAATCTTGTTTCGGAAAAAAAAAAATCTGCCTCTTAATGGTTCCAAAATCCTCTGAATGATTTTGTATCCTAAGCCTTCTTTAACCATTCAGCATCCTAATTTCATTGTAAACAATTACCAAACAACTATATTTCATTTTAAACTATATCATAAGAAACTCTTAATTATTTTATACCAAATTATTCAGCAACTGTGAAAGAAGTAAAATCCATGAGAGAAGTGTAAGGGGCTGTTTGTTTGGCTCTTAATGGTTACATTAAGAGCCAACCTCTTAATCGCTAAGAGGTCAAGGCTGTTTGGCAAAAAAAAAAATACTCTGAATGGTTACATTTTCTCTCTTAACCATTTTGCATCTAAAGGGTCTCTAAACCATTCAGACTCCTCTTTTTCCCTATTTGCCCTCTCCCAACATTCCTCACATCGCTCTGTCGCGTCCTCCCCCCACCCTACGATCGCCGTCGCCTCGTCGCCGCTGTCGTTCGTCGCCGCCGCCGTTCGTCACCGCCGCCTCTCGTCGCCGCCGCCTCTGCCTCTCGTCGCCTTCCACATCCTTGCAATTCCTTGCAAAGATGCTCGTCGCCGCTCCTCTCCTGTCTAGGGTTTGGTTTAGGGATTAGCATTTTTCTTTGGAAATTGATGRTGTTTATTGYTAATTTCATGTTTRTAACAATGTTAMTGATGATTGGATTACCKACATWTTGCAATTTMWTGAGRATTWGATAYTGAYATGAAGAACARCATCTTYGCAATTTCTTGAGGATTACCGACATCTTTTTCTTTGGAAATTGATTGTATTTCTTGAGGGTTAAAATGGTAATTTGTTATCATTCAGAGAACAATTACCAAACAACCTTGTTTCATTCAACACTTAACTATTCTGATCCTCTTAGCCATTCTAACCTCTTAATTATTCTGAACTAAATCATTCAGCAACTGCCAAACAGCCCCTAATTGATGGGGGAGACATGGTTTTGAAAAAAATAAAGCATGGAAAACAAGGGGCGAAAAAAGATACCACTCTCCCTTCTCTTCCCTTTGTTAGTTTAAAATACCTTTCCAAGGTCAACATATAAATTACACATATCACATGCCTTATTTACATCCTTAAACAAAAACAACTGTAATTGTTTCAAGCAGCATTTGAGCAATTGGATTTGTTAATTCTTTCAACATTATTTGAGAAATAAATGGTTTTTAGTGATTTGGATTTCGTAAAAGAATTTACAATTTTTGGTGTGTTTGGTTTGTAGGATTTGAAATGTATTTGATTTTCATTTTTATAAATAATTTATAAAAAACAAATTATAAAAATAATTAAAGATTATGTTTTTATTAATTAGTTATTAGAAAACAAATGTTTTCAAAAAAATTACACACAAATCCTTTGAAATTCCATGAAATGCCAACAAACCTCATGAGATTGCCAAATCTTGAGATTCCAAGTCCAATTAATTCTTCAAACCAAATATGAGATTGAGATGAAATTGAAATCCAAATCCAAATCCAAATCCCTCCAAATACTATCTGATTCTATAAAGCAACGGGACTTAAAGGATTTATGTCTAGTTTTTGTTGCTTGCTTTCTATTCGTATTCTATTAACGCCAATCTCCCCATGTGCGGACCTACCATGGTGGTTACGGTGGCACGTGCCATCGTATCATTTCTCCATTGAAAGGTAAAAAAAAAATTAGGTTCGTGAAAGGTGCAACCGTATGTATTTTGAAACTACGATAAGAACAAGTTTTATTTGGTAGAGTTGGTTTGCAAGACTTTTATTCTACTCTAGACCCAAATTCAAATGTTGTTAGTGTCATTTTCTTAGTCAAATAGTGCCACCGATTGAATTCTTTTCCGTATATTTGTTTCTTATAGTCAACCGATGCAATTGTTTGAAATCTTTTCCCTATATTTTTTTTCTTATAGTCAAATGGTGCCATCGTTTGAAAAAAAATTATGGGTCCTTCTCTGAATCTCCCCTCACTTGAAATATTTATCTGGTCATTTCGTTTTTCCGACTTCATGATCTTCTAGTTTATTTACTCGCCGGCTATACAAAAAACTCGGTCCTTCTTAAAAGAATTTAGTTCATACATGATTTAGAGTGATTCTTCTAACTTATAAATATCATTTTATATTTTTAAGTCCAATTTAGTCTTTTACTCTTTTAGTCGATTTCAATTTTGACTTTAAAAAAATATTAAGAGAATGATTCTTCTAACTAAACTTCATATGTTACTTTGTCATTTTAAAATACATTTATTATTTAATTTGTACCATTTTTAATATAATATATCATATAAATTCTTATATTTCGTTTATTTATCAATGTAGTAGTTGATTTATAATCTTGTACACGGATCTCAAAAAAACCGAAGGGAAAATCTAAAAGAATCCAACAAACTTTCTCATTTTTAATGGTTTAGTCTCTAAATTATTTTTTAATTGAAAAACCCATTAAACTTTCTCATTTTAAATGATTAAGTCCTTCAATTATTATTTTTTAATGAACAAACCATTAAACTTTCACATTTTGAATGATTAAGATCTTGAATTTAAAATAAATAAATAAATAAATAAATTATTGAACTTTTACTAGTCGGTTAATATAATATTTTTGGGGTTAAAAAGATGGAGGTAACTAGTTTTTAAAAGTGACGGTTTATTTATTAAAAAAATGTTCAAGTACTTAATCAATTAAAATAAAAAAAATCTAACGGTTATTCATTTAAAAAAAGAAAGTTTGTTTGTTTTTTAATTAAAAAAATAGTTTAAAAACTTAGGATTGTTTACCAAACGTTATTCAGGTAAGTGTTTACGGAAAAAATTCAATATTATCACTTACTTATGAGACATGAACGGACCTATTATAGGGCATACGGTGGCACGTGCCATCGTATTATTCCTCTGTTGATAGGTAAAAAATATTTGGGTTCGTGAAATGTGCAACCGTATTAATTTGTTGTGTGCCACCGTATGTAATTGAAACTACAATAAGAACAAGTTTTATTTCGTAGAATTGGTTTGCAAGGCTTTTATTCCACCTCAGACCCAAGTTCAAATCTTGTTGGTGTCATTTTGTAACAACCCACAATTTCCACATACAGATAATCCACATGATATTTCTCATATCCCAGAATGTAATATCGTTTACAAAATACAGACTAACAAAAACTTTCTTCAATACATTTGTAAGCAACTAATTTCTTCAATTCTAAATTTTTCCTTTGCTTTTGTCCTGCGAGGTACGATGACCTGCAAAACAAGTTAGTTCAACAACTAAGCGGTTTAAATGAACCCGGTTGATACTTGAGCGATTTAAATATCCGGTTGCCTCTTGAGGGATTTAAGGCAAATCCGGTCAACCCTTGTCCGGTTTAGGTAGAACCCGGACACCTCTTGTCCGGTTTAGGAGTAATCCGTACAACATTTAATATGATTCCAAAATAAGGCAGTTCTAATAGCAATGAATTGAATACCAACAATTTATACTCAAAACAGAATACACTCACCTTAGACAAGAATCCTGATTCTGAATTCTCTTCTTCTTTGCTGCCAATCCGTATGATTAAAAAGGAGAATTTCCTATTATAGCAAGAGTGTAAACTTTTTCATCTAGACCAAAAATTTCTATATATAGTAATAAGGGAATAAGGTGGGCGGTGTCTCCAACCGACTCCCCCTCCTTTTAAAATTATTCCCCCTATATACACACCTCAACACCTTCACACACACACACAC